AAACAACTGCACCTCCCAGTCGCGAACCATTTCAACTCCCCCTCCCATTCCTCAGACGACATGTCCATCCTGGGCCTCCTGCAGTGCCACAACGATGCCACCCGAAGGTTGCAGGAACAGCAACTCATATTCCGCTTGGGAACCCTGCAGCCCAATGGTATCAATGTGGATTTCACAAGTTTCAAAATCTCCCCTCCCCCTACCGCATCCCAAAACCAGTCCAGCTCGTCCCTGCCTCCCTAACCTGTTCTTCCTCCCACCTATCCCCTCCTCCCACCTCAAGCCGCACCTCCATCTCCTACCGACCAACCTCATCCCGCCCCCTTGACCTGTCCGTCCTCCCTGGACTGACCTATCCCCTTCCTAACTCCCTACCTACACTCACCTTTCCTGGCCCCATCCCCGCCTCTTCGACCTGTTTGTTTCCTCTCCACCTATCCTCTCCTCTATCCCTCTTCTATCCGCCTCCCACTCTCTCCCTATTTATTTCAAAACCCCCTTCCCCTCCCCCTTTTCTGATGAAGGGTCTAGGCCCGAAACGTCAGCCTCTCTGCTCCTATGATGCTGCTTGGCCTGCTGTGTTCATCCAGCCCTGCACCTTGTTGTCTCGGATTCTCCAGCATCTGCAGTTCCTACTATCTCCCATTCTCAATGCACTGGTCAATAAAGGCATGTACCAAATTCCCTCTTCGCTACTCTCTCTACCCCTGACTACACCTTCAAGGAAGTATGAACGTGCACCCCAAGGTCTCTTTGTTTGGTAACACTTTGCAGGACCCTACTGTTAAGTGTATAATTCCTGCCCTGATTTTCCTTACCAAAAATGCAAAATCCTACATTTATGTCAATTAAATTCCATTGACCACTTCTCAGTACATTGCTCATCTGATCAAGTCCTGTTGTACTCTAAGGTAATCTTCCTCACCGTCCAGCACACCACCAATTTTGGTGTCATCTGAAAATTCATTAACAATTCCTCCGAAAATCTCATCCAAATCATTTATATAAATGACAAAAAGCAGTGGACCCAGCACCAAGTCATGTGGCACACCGCTGGTCACAGGCCTCCAGTCCAAAAAACAGCCATCTACCACCACCTTCTGTCTCCTACCTTCGAGCCAATTTTGTATCCAAATTTGCTAGCTCTCCCTGAATTCCACGTGACCTAACTTTGCTAATCAGTCTCCCATGCTGAACCTTGTCAAATGCCTTGCTGAAGTCCATATGGACTACATCCACACCTCTGCCTTCATCCATCTTCTTTGTTGCATGTTCAAAATACACAATCAAGTTAGTGAGACACGATTTCCCACACAAAGCCATGTTGACTATCTTTACTCATTCCTTGCCTTTCCAAATACATGTAAATCCTATCCCTCAGAATCCCCTGCAACAGCTTTCCCACGACTGACTTCAGGCTCACCAGTCTATAGCTCCCTGGCTTTTCCTTACCACCTTTCTTAAGTAATGGCACCACATTAGCCACCGTACAATCTTCTGGCACTTCACCTGTGGCAATTGATGATACAAATATCTCAGCAAGGGGCCCAGCAATCACTTCCTAGCTTCTCACAAAGTTCTGGGATACACTTGATGAGTTCTTGGGGATTTATCCACCTTAATGCATTTTACCTTCTCTGTAATAAGGACACTTTCCATGCTATCACATTTGTTTCTCCAAGTTCTTTAGCTTCCATATCTTTCTCCACAGTAAATACTGAAATGAAATACTTGTTTATTATCTCACCCATCTACTGCAGTTTCATAGACAGTCTTGATATTCTTTAAGGGGCCCCATTCTCTCCCTCGTTAATCTTTTGCCCTTAATGTATTTGTAGAATCTCTTTGGATTCTCCTTAACCCTATTGTCAAAGCTATCTCATGTCTCCCTTTTGCCCTCCTGATTTCCCCCTTGAGTATACTCCTACTGCCCTTATACTCATCGAGGGATTCATTTGATCCTTGCTGTCGAAACCAACCATATTCCTCCTTTTTCTTGACCAGAGCATCAATTTCCCTAGTCATCCACCATTCCCTACACCTACCAGCCCTGATCTTCACATTAACAGAAACATTCTGACTGTGAACTTTTGTTACCTCATTTTTGAAGGCTTCCCCCTTTCCACCAGCCCTTTCACCTGAAAATAACCTCGCCCAGTCAGCTTTTGAAAGTTCTTGCCTAACACCATCATAATTGGCCTTATTCCAAATTGGCAATGATTAAGAATTAGTTGATAGAAAGGAAACAGAGTGTGAATAAATGGGTCTTGTTTGCTGAATAGAAGGCAGTGATTTATGTGGTGTAGCAAGGCTCGGTACTCAGCCTCAGTTATTCACTATATATTAAAGACCTGGATGAGGGAAACAAATGCATCTTTTCCAAGTTTGTTGCCAATGCAAAATTGGGTGGGATTGTGAGCTGTGAGGAAGATGCAAAGAGGCTTCAAGTTGAGTGAACAAACACATGGCTGATGGATAAATGCGAAGTTTTACACTTCGGTGTGAAAAACCGAAAGAAAAGTAATACTTAAATGGTATATTGGGAACAGTGGATGTAAGAGAGGATTTGGGAGTCTGACACAGCTGTCAATGAAAATAGGCAGGTGCAAGAGGCAATTCAGAAAGCAAATGCTTCGTTGCAAAAGGATTTGATTTCAGAAGTTGTGATGTTCTATTGCAATTATGATGTGGAGATGCCAGTGTGGGACTGGGATGGACAAGGTCGGAAATCACGTGACACCAGGTTATAGTCCAACAGGTTTATTTGAAAACACTTTCAAATAAATCTGTTGGACTATAGCCTACTGCAGTTATACAAGGCATTAGTGAGGCCAAACCTGGGCTTTGCATGCAATTTTGGTCTCCCTACCTATGAAAGGATATACTTGCCATAGAGAGAATGCAGTGGAAATTTACTAAGCTGATAATGGGGAATGACAGGACTGTCATTGATGGTTTGACTAGGCATGTAGAATAAAGAATGTAAACATAAAATTCTAACAGGCCTGAAAAGACTGGATAAGGTGACGATATTTCCTCTGGGTGGAGAGTTTCAAACCAAGGGACACGATCTGAGGATAAAGGGTACACCATTTCGGACTGATTTGAGGAAATATTTCTTCACCCAAAGGGACCTGAACCTGTGGAATCCTCCACTACAAAAGGCTGTGGAGACCAGTCACTGAATATACTCAATAAAGAAATAGAGACATTTTTAGATTTCGAAAGGATCAAGGGGTTTGGGAAGAAAGCAGGAATATGGCAGAGAAACAGGCATGTTCACATTAAAGAGTGGAATATGCTGAAAGAGTTCAATGACATATTCCTGCACATAGTGCGTAGTATCCAGGGCACAGGAGAAACCACATCTTGAATACTGCGCATTGACTGGTCTGTTATTTATGGAAGGATGTAAATGGATTGGTGGTAGTTGAAAGAAGGTTTCCCTGACCAACACTTGGAATAAGTCCAAATAAATGCAAAATACCGTGGATGCTTCAAATCTAAAATATAAATATTAACTGCTGGAGAAACTCAGCAGTTCTACCAGAATCTATCGAAAGAGGAAGAATGTTAACATTGAGTCAAGTGGCTCTTCCTTAGAACTGAACTGATTTTTTTTGTGCATGTTGATAAAAGTGGGCAGAGAAGAAAGTCGAACAGATGGTAAGGGTGCTTGGATCAAAAGAGACACTGAGTGCTTATGGTGGTGAAGGAGGGATTGAAATGCAAAATAGACATTGTATAGGAGAAAATAAGTTTGCACTTCTGAGTCAAATCCAACAAGACACAAACAGGGGGCATGGGGTTGGGTGATGTGATCAAAATGAAGGACAGTGTTTATGCTCTGAAGTTATTGAACTCAGTTTGAATCCTGAATGCTGTAAAATGCCTGAGTGTAGAATAAAATGCTGCCCCTCCAGCTCACATTTGAGCTTCAATGGAACAAAGCAGGCCTCTGATTGAAATGTTATCTTGGGAGCAAGATCATTTATTGATTTGATTGATTTCTCCACCAATGCTGTGAGTTTAGAAGAGTGTCTTTATCATTTCTGTTTTCATGTCTGGAAATAAATGGAGTGTCTCGTTGAGATCGGTTGGACAGAGTAGTCTCGTATCTTCTGTACGTTAAAAGAGTAAGTGATGATGCAATTGCAACATATAAGGTCCTGTCAGATCATGATAAGATTGATTTGGAGCATATGTTCCCTTTTATGGGGGAATTGAGATCTAGAGCTCACTGTTTTAAAAATAAGGCATCAACAATTTAACATGTGAGGTAAATTATTTTTCTTTTGGATGGTCACAAGTGTTTGCTATTCTCTTCCTGAAAAGGTAGTGGGAACAGAGTCCTTGAATATTTTTAAGGCAGAGATGGTTAGATTCTGGTTCACCAGGGACAGAAAAGTTATCATGCTGAGCGAACGTGTGGATTCGACATTGCAGTCAGATAAGCTATGATCTTGTTTAGCAGTGGAGAAGGTTCAAGTGATTGGCATACTGCTGCACCTTGTTGATAGGTTCTGATTCAACTAGCAGATTCTGTCATCTGTTGGCCTTCTCTCACGCACTGTGAACATTTCAGAGTTTGTAGTTGTGCCCATTGCACAGAGAAGTGCATGTAATTCACCTTGTATTATCCCATCATTGAATTGAGAAGCTTTTTCTGGCCGATAAAATTGTACCTACTCCTCCATTTCTATGTCTCTTCATTTGTTGCTTCCCCTCTCTTTGTTTCTTTTTCCTTTTCTGGCCTTATCCTCCCCCTCCTCTTCTATTAATTTCTACCCTCAGACTTATTCTCCCTTCCCCCTCCCTTGTTTCTAAGTACAATAATAAATTGTGTACTTCATGTCATGGGAATATAAATCACATTAAACATCACCATTACTTGAGCAATGTTATGACTATATGATTATTATGTACATCATTGTCCTTCCATTCAAAATTTTATAATCAAAAGTACTATTTAATATTTTTCAGAAGGAAAAGTGAAGAACAGCAATAATGTGGGGATGATTGTCTTGGGTGTACTGGTGTCACTGGCAATTATTCTTATCATATTTATATGGTGGAGAAAACAAAGAGGTAGGCAAGTTTTTCTTTAATGTATCACAGAACAACTTTGCAAAAAAAATTTTCTCACCCATGCGCATGATTATGCTTGATTTTACAACATTCAGATATGGTAGTGATGGTGGCTCAGTAGTTAGCACTGCTGCCTCACAGCACCAGGGGCCAGGGTTCGATTCTATCCTCTAGCAACTGTCTGTATGGAGTTTGCACATTCTCCCCGTGGCTGTGTGGGTTTCCTCTGTGTGCTCTGGTTTCCTCCCATAGTCCAAAGATGTGCAGGTTAGGTGGATTGGCCATGCTAAATTGCCTGTAGTGTTCAGGGAGGTGTAGATTAGGGGGATGGGTCTGGGTGGGATGCTTGAATTCAATGTGGACTTGTTGGGCTGAACGGCCTGTTTCCACACTGTAGGGATTCTATGATCTATGAATTGGCCCTTGGTTTCTACTGCATAATAACTGCTGTTTTCTCAAGGAAAGATTTTCTAATGAAAGTTTATGTTTCGTCAAAAATAAAACTAGAAAAGTCAACGTAATGATAGACTGTGTCAAAAAAGACTTGATACAAAGTAAGTTAGAACACCATAGGAAGTTTGTGCTGAGTCATCTTTAGTTATTCAAGGTAACATATAATGGACACAGAAGGTTTTGGTAAATGCAAACAAGTGACAGATGGAATTTAATGCAGAGAAGTGTGAAGTTATATATTTTGGTACTAAGAATGAGAAACGGTAATAAAACAAAAGCAGAATTCTAGAAACGGTAAGGTAAACAGGAAACCTGGGATATATGTGCACCAACCTTTGAATGTTATCGTGAGGGTTGAAAAAGGTGTTTAGAAAAAAACAAAAGAGGTATTGTGCACTAGAAATTGAAGTGCGGAGCAAATAAACAAGGAATTTGTGAGGAAATTTTATAAAGACACAGATTTGATTTCAAGACAGAATTGTGTCCTGTTATACGCACCTTTTTTCTTCTTGGAGGAAAACTTCACGGAGGCCACAGAAAGGTTTGTGAGAATGTTTCCAGCAATGATTGAGTTCTCTTATGTTACCTGAAAAAACAGGATTGTTCTGCTTGGAAGTTTCTATACAGAGAGGTAACTGGATAGCAGTGATTGAAATAATGCTTTGCCTAGACAGATACTGATAGGAAGAAACTGCTCCAATGGTGGATGGGTTGTAAATCAATGATCACTATTATGAGGCTAATTAATGGCAAAAGAGCCAACAACAACATGAGGATACCTTTCCACTTAATAGGATTTGGAATGCATCAGCTGACAGTGTGGTGTGAGGCAGATTCAATTGTGACTTTCAAAAGGGCCTATGGATATGCAGCTTCAGAGAAAACATTATCAAGAAAGGACAGGAGAGTATGACTAGCTGAGTTCCTCTCAGAGGGCCAGCCTCCTTAAGTGCTGTGACCATTTAATTATTTTATAAACCTATATAACTGTAACCTAAATTTCAAGATTGCAGTCTGAGCTAGTGAAAAATCTGCCACAGGCTTATCTCTGATGCATGAGGACATCAATCTGTAATGGTGAATAAATCTGACTTGTCAACTGAGCTATTCAACCCATAATTCTGCCCATTGTGACAACACGTTGATCTTAGAATGGAACCAAGGTTTGGGTCACTGAACCCTGAACGCTGACCTGGCTTCAAATCAACAATGTCGGCCAGCGATCATTAAGCCTCAAGTAAGATTGAAATGAAGCAATGATATTCTAGCTGTATGCCAGTGTCTGATTGAATCTTCGTTCTTCTGGCTTTTGCTGTTCAGTTTGAATAACTTTCTTCAGCATGGCATAAACAGCCCCACAAAAGCAGTACATTGTCAGCTGCTAACAGCTAAAGTTGTATGAGGTATGTATTAAGGTATCTCTGATACAGCTGCATTTGTCGTTCATGCAGCAAACGGGATTGTATGTGTTTCGTGATCAATGCACATTATCATGAAATGGAATATAATAACATGGAATTGGACCATAGATATAAAAAAAGTTTAATATTTGATGGACATTACAAATTCATAGTCATACAGCATGGAAACAGGCCCTTTTGGCCCAACTTGTCCATGCTGACCAGCTTTCCCAAACTGAACGAGTCCCATTTGCCTGTGTTTGGCCCATATCCCTCAAAATCTTTCTTATCCATGTACCTGTTTAAATGTCTTTTTAATTGTACCCACATCTACCACTTCCTCTGGCAGCTTGTTCAACATATGCACCACCCTCTGTGCGGAAAAGGTTGTGCCTCAGGACCTTTTAAATCTTTCCCCCTCTCTCCTTAAACCTATGACCTCTAGTTTTAGACTCCCCTACCCTGGGGAAAAGACCTTTTGCTAATCACCTTATCTGTGTCTCTCATGATTTTATAAACTTCTATAAGGTCACTCCTCTCTCCCGGGGAAAAATGTCCCAGCCTATTCGAACCTCCCCTCATCATTAAACCTTCCAGTCTCAGTTATATCCTTGAAAATCATTTTTTGCATTTGAAAGCGTGAACCTTTTTGATCTACTTTTTCAACACCATATTCTTGGCAACTTGGTGATTCCCAGGGACTTGCTGCTCTTGGCCTCTGCTCTGAGGAGCCACAGTAAATGAGTATTCTGATTTCTTCAGACCTCAGACCAGTGGGTTCCTACAGGATTGACTGGATGGCCATGAGCTGCACCCCTCTGCTTCATACTCCCTCAGATTTTAACTTCTCAGCCCAAGAGCTACCGCCAATGTCCTCTCGTGTTGCAGAGTTGCCCGTGGCAGTCTTTTCCCCACCCAGAATTTTTCTTTGAATACATTTCCCTGCAATGGTTACAATAATGGGCTCTCCTTACTGGAATTCAAAGATATAACTGGTAGGAAGTGACAGGTTGTAGTCAAATATTCACGAACGATGTATCATTCAAATTACTTTTAAGCAGTGTTTGCAATTTTTGATCTCCGATGTCCTGTCAATGACAGTGACTGACTCACTCTCCCAAAGATGCATGAGACCAAATAAGAATACGAAAATTGTGAAAATTTAATTTTGGCGGGTGTTGAGGTTTTGGGAAATGGTCTTATAAAAGTTGCACTCTTGTAGCTAATGTGTGGGGAACAATTGTGAAAAGAGAATGAACACGTTGCCTCATTTACTACACTATGCTCTTCATTGTTTTTTTCTGGATTTTCTAACATTTATTTTCCATTCTCTAGGTTACAGTCTTACTTAACCAGGGCCTGAGACAGTTAAATGCTCAAGTTGAATTTGCAGCAAAGACAGACCGAAATGGATATTTTCTTTGTAACTATAGCTGTTTTAATTGCATAATCATTTTACATGTGTTTTATCTTTCTAATAATTTTACTAAAACATTAATTATTTGCTCAACTTTGGAATGACCAATGCCATGTTTGATCTATAATTGCATAAACTGATTCTATATATTACATAATGGCAGCAACAAATTTCTGGCATTCTGGTGTGTTGTCAATATTATTCCTACATTCCAGAGATTTCCTGGATGTTGGCCTCAGGTAGAGGACCTGCACTTGTGGGGTTAGGTAATGGTTATGGAAGTTCTGTTCAATCAGTGGGTGCACAACTGAGCATCACAAACTTTTGATAAAGTTACTACTCACCTATTGCATCCATGCTACATTGGGTGAGGAAAACTCAGAGGTGAAACTTCCCTCTATAAGTAAAGAGATTGATGTTGATGTAGCATGTCTGCTGCTAACAGGATAATTCTAAATGGGAATAAAACTAAAAGACCTTTTCCAACCGGTGTGTAATCTTTGTCTGTCAGCATTAAGTGAAGTGCATCTCCAGAAAATCAACACAAGCTGTAAAGGTATTTTCAGAATATTTTAGAGGGAAGATTTAACAGTGGCAAGGGATGACCGCAAACCTTGGATATGTGGACTTTGCCTCTGTCAGAGACTTTTGTTCCACCTTATGAAGGAAATTAATCTCCACACATGATAGAAAAAGTACCACACCACATTAGACATTATTAACTCCCATCACGTATCCCACTCAATGTTAATTTTCATTGAACTCTGGAAAAAAATGCTATTTGCGGCATGTAACAGGTTTTACCTGCTCATGCCTATTTTGCACAGCTATTGTGGGAGCTATTCATTTAGAGGTCAGGACCCGTTAAAGCCCAACCTTTGTGCTATTTCCCTAAGATAGTGACTAGACTCAATGGATACTTGAGTAGATTTTTTAACTGCTCTCTGAATTTCGTGTGGGAAACTGCATAAATAATGCTGTTTGTGCAGGAACTCAAGTGTTGCAGCATGTATCCTGTTTGCTCCGTAACGGTAAAAGGATTACTGTAATCTGTGTGCAAGTATTCAACATCCATAATTTGTACACATATATAATAAATGTGACTGTCCACAGCAGTATAAAGCTACCAGATATGGCCAGTAGTAAAACGATGGATTTCCTTCATTTTTCCATTTCTGGGTCTTTGTCACTACCCTGGAGACCCTTCCTGATCCTGCTTGTCAGTAGAATATGCCTGATGGTCAGGCCATTGAATATAAGGATCAAGAGAAAAGGAATAAAAGGCATGAAAGCTATATCAATCCATAAAAATGTAACCCACAGAGGAACAGTGTACAAGCTTAATTTTACATTGCAGAAACATAATATATTATCAATTATTATGTGAGGTTCAAACGTAAAGTAAATTGGTATGTTTTCCAGGATGCTCAGCACCCATATCATGGCGACAACTATTGCTGCAGTCTTTTCAGTGCAATATTGTGTTCTTCTTTTTTGGCAACAAATAGCAACAAATCTGTCAAAGGTGAAAGCTACAGTCAACCAGACAGAGCATTCAATAAAGGCAAAAATTAGGAAGAAATTCAGACTGCAGATGGGTGTATAGTCCAAGGAGGAATCTGGGAAATAAACTTCATTCATCTCATATAGAACCACATCAAATAGAAGGACCAGTAGATCTGCTGCTGCCATGGATACCAGGTAAATTGTGATGCATTTAGAGAGGCCACATTTTCCATGGGAGAGAATCACAATTGTTACCAAACTGGCTGTCCACAGAGAGGAAATGAAATAGATCAGGACAGTAGATTAAAAAAAATAATTTGAGCAAAAAAAATGACAATGATCAATGCTTTTTTCCCATTAACTCTCATCCAAATAATTTTGATAATTCTGAGGATGCATATCAGCAAAATATCATTTATTGTCAAAGTCAGTCAAGCAACAAATTAGAGACTTAAGCACCAATTTCAGAATACCTCATTAAAGTTTCTAATTTGTTTGTTCGTACAACTTTAAAGGCAAGCAATGAAGTTAGGGATTTATTGCAGCACATTTACAGATTTAGTGCATCATTTACAATTTTCTCAATGTTATCATAAACCGCACAAAATAATTTTTCTGTTCCTTGTGAAAACTAGCATTCCTAGAATCACAGTCACTTATGGCACAGATGGAGTTCATTCAGCTCTTCATGGAGCAATCTATTCATTCCTGCTCTGCTGCTCAGTCTTAGTATGCCTGTGAGGTTGTTTAATTCAACTGTCTATTCAATCTTCTCTTGAAAGCATTGATTATTTCTACCACCACCCCATCAGAGAATTAGAACTCACTACCTTAGAAAAAACTCCATTTCTTGTCTAAGATCCTAAATCTGTGTCCATTAGTGCTTATCAATTCATGGGAAGAGTTTTTGCTTGCTTGTCTTTTTCCAATTAATCATAACAGTGTTTTAGAATCACAGTTACTGTAGCACAAAAGGGCATCATTCCACCCATTTTATGGGCTGTTGAGTGAATTTGTGACTTCTGCTACTTGTCTTCCCATCTGCCAGTTCCCTCAGAATTGTGGCATCACATCTATGTCATCTCACCTTATTTTTTTTAGCTCAAAATATATTGCCAGAAACTCTCTTACATTGAGTTCCATAGACAACTTATCAACGGATTCTGTACCCTGTTCCAGGCAACTCTCAACATTCTCACTGTTTGCTCCTCCTACATTTTGCGATCATTGCAAAATTTCAAAATTTTCCTCCAGATCAAAGGTTTAAGTCAACAAGATATAATGTAAAATGCTTCGAAATTTGCAATCAATCTGTTTTCTTCTAATCTACCCCTAAAATCAAAAGAGAACTACAATTTTGGCAATAGATATGCTCGATGGTGTTGTAATACCAGTCTGGACAGGATTAAAATTTTCTTATCAGCACTGTTAAAAATTCATGATTACCAGATGGATCGGTCAATAAGTGTTTCTCCAGAACTGTAGTTTCATTTTAGGCCAAGCTACACATACCAGCACAATTTTAAAACTTCTTTTTCTCCTGAATGAATGTTACTTTCATGCACATGACTAGTGTGGGAAGTAAGTGGTATAGTGGTAGTGTCGCTGAATGAGCAACCTGGAAACCTAAGCAAAAATTCTAAGGACATGAGTTTTAATCACATCATGGCAGATGGCAAAATTTTAATTCAATAAAAAAGCTACGTTAATGTAACCACTGTCAATTAGTGTACCCAGATGACTTTTGTCCTGTAGTTAACCTTACATGATCTGGCATACATGTAATTCCAGACCCATAGCAATTTGGTTAATACTTAACTACCCTAACTTAGGAATGGACAATAAATGTTGGCACATGTCAGCAATGCACACATGCAGTGAACTAGTTTCTAAACAGGAGAACCATGATATCTCTGTCAACTGCTGCAATCATTAAAGTTTATCTTCATGGGTTAAATCTGAGAAGTGTCCTCTCCTTTGGGCAATGATGCAAATTGAGGTATATGGGTATAACTGTCCATTGAATGGCAATCCTGAGACATTAATTTCAATTCTGGTCTTGGTGATGCCTGTCTCCAGTCCAAGGGCAGAATTCATGAAGTGGTGGAATACTCTCCACTTCCATGAATGAAGGGAGCTCAAACACAACTCAGGAGGCTGGACACTGACCAGATTAAAGTAGTTCATTTGAATGGAATCCCATGCACCACTTTCAACATCCACTTCCTTCATCACATAGGCACAGTTTTTACCATCTGCACGATGCACTGTAGAAACTCATTCAGGCTTAATCCAATCCCACGATCTCTACTGGGTAGAGGGACAAGGGAAGCAAATGCATGGTAACAGCCTGCTTTACAAGTTTTCCTCCAAGAGTGTTCCCCACACCTGACATGTAATTCTAACAGTTCCTTCACTGTTTAAGCGCCAAACTTGTGAAGCTTCCTTGCTATCAACACTATGAGTACCCCACACACCAAGGACTGCATTAGTTCAGGGTGGCAGCTCATAACTACCTTCTGCAATTTAATTAGAGTTAAGCAATTGCTGCTGTCCTGGTGAGCAATGCCCACATCCCATAAACAAAAAAAAACAAGTGCAAGCTATTGAGACCAAGGATGATGAATAGTGACTAGTTTGCTATTTTACATGATCACTCATTTCCAGCATTAAACTATCTACCTGCAGCATTTGGCAAACATATAATTCCATCTGTCACCACAGTCATACAATTCACAACGCAATTTCTTGTGACTCAGCTTCATTGTAGAAACATAGAAAATCTACAGTACATAGGGAGAAAGACAAGGCAGTTTTGCTTGTGACTCTGGAAGTTTGCAGTTACGTTGCTGATTGATTTCATTCCTTTGATGGACTGCAGTTTATTAGCAACAATCAAATTACTTTGTTTCAGCTCTTCAGAAATTCACTGTTGGACTGGACATTTCCCAATCTGAAAGCTCCAATGTTGATGTTGTTGGCTTGCTAGTCAAGCTGGCTGGTTATCATTCAGACATTTCGTCACCATACTAGGTTACATCATCAGTTTAGCCTCCAATGAAGCAATGTTGTTCAAATCTGCTTGGAACCTATTTGATCTGGTTTGTTAATTTGAGTTGTGTCATTTCCGGTTCTTTTTTGATGGGTTTGTATTTGGGGTCTAATTCCCCAAGTTTGTTGATTGCATTACGGGTTGAAAACTAGGCCTCTAGGAATTCCCATGTGTGTCTGTGGTTGGCTTGAGCTAAGATGGTCATGTTGCCCCAGTTAAGTTGATGGCTTTCATTGTCCAAATGCACTGAGATGAGGGAAATTTTGTTGTGCCGTTTTGCTGCTAGCTGGTGTTCGTGTATCCTGATGGCTAGTTTCCTTCCAGTCTGGCTGATGTAATGTTTGTTGCAGTCATTGCAAGGTATTTTGCAAACCAGGTTGGTTTTGCATGTCATGGGTTTGGGGTCTTTAGTCCTTGTGAGTGTTTGTCGTAGTGTGACTGTGGATTTGTTTGCTACCATGATTTCTAGTGGTCGTAGGAGTCTCACTGTCAGTTCTGATCTATTCTTGATATGGCGTAGTGTGGTCAGTGTCTTGGGGCATACTGTATCCTTTTGGCATTCTCTATCTAGTAGGCATCTGCGGATGAAGTTGTTGGGATATCTTTTGTGACTGAATACCATATATAGGTGCTCTTCCTCCTTGTGCAGTTCTGGCATGTTGCAGTGTGTTGTGGCTCGTTTAAATAGTGTCCTAACATAGCTTTGTTTGTGGATGTTGGGATGATTGCTGTGGAAATTGAGGATTTGGTCAGTGTGGGTTGCCTTCCTAAATACTGTGGTTTGGAACTCCCCGTTGGTCATTCATGCTATCCTATACAGCTACACACTTACCAACAGTGGAGATAGACCAAACATCACAGCGAGTAAAAACGATCACCTGAACACTGAAGAGACTAAAAAATGCAGGAGAAAAAACCAAGAC